TGGCGAACCATTATGACACATCAAGTTTCATTTTAAAGTCCATAAATATACCTTTAAAAAATGAAAACAAAGTACTTTGCTATCCTGGGGACATAAATCATGTAGTTTTATTACTTCAAAAGACCACCAGAAGATGAGCTCTGATGTTTCTAAGGTGACAAGCAATTTATATGAATAAATCACAATTTGAGCTCCATTATGCTCTAGTTGATATATGCAGCAATAAGGTTTATAGATGTTTATTTAACAATATTTAATACTAATATAAAAACCTAGGCTTTTCTCTTACTGATTTCCAGTTCTGTAGGAGACATTAAGTAGTTTCAAGCACCTGTGAAAGAGGCTGTATCAAGCTATACATTCCCACTGCAAAGAGAATGCACGAATCTGCCTATTCAGGGGCCTTGGGTCACTGGAGCCTAATGTGTGAAAATGTTGGAATTTGATTTAAAAGAGCCAATAAAGTAGTGACGCATGGGGCTGTGCTACCACCTTAACTGACCCTGTAAAGTAGTGATGCTGTGCTACCACCTTAACTGACACTGTAATCTAGAACAGATGTGCTGAAAGGTGTCACACAGAGATGTAGGAGTTTGGAACTCTGCTTATCTTTGCAGATATCGTGGCACCTTGGGACATAGCTGACATCACCATAGCATAGCATTGTCACTTAGTGTCAAAACTTGGCACAGGGGAAATAACGCCAGCTTTGGAGATCAACTGCTTGGATCCAAATCCAAGTTTTATGCTGAGCAGTTTTGTGCCTTGGACAAGGGATCTAAAAATCTCTGAGGCTCAGTTTTTTCATCATGACGTGGGGAAACCTGTCTTCTGCAGCAAAGAAGAGTAAGTTGAGTGGTGGGATGTTCTCTGTAGAGTCCTTAGAATTGTGTCTGATGCCTAAAAATGACAAACACTTTGAATGTCAGGTAGGGACTGTTTCTTATTTCACCTCTTACTCATCTTCATAGCACCCTGTAGCTAAAGGATGCAGCTTTGAGGTCTGTCTGTCCTTCTCATGGATGTCGAGCTAGCTGTGGTTCTTCCTAGAGAATGTTTTCTGGCTGATTCAGATGTTTAGCTTGAGTCTGGACTTGAGTGGGTTCAGCATCTGCCCTGATGGTCGGCCCCAGGCTTAGCCCCTTCTTGCCTTTGGTTTGGGTCAAGGTCACAGTGGGAGAGGCAGTACCTTCACTACCTGGACAGCAGTCAGGAAGCAGCTCAGGTGGTTGAAATCCCCCTGATTTTGGAGCCATTCCATCTCTGTCTCTGAGCGCTGGTTCATTCTTTCAGTAGAGAGTTATGCTTTTTGTTTTCTTCTACTACATAATTATTCATTACCTTTCAGAGTCTCTTTATTTCTGTGAACATAAAGCAGAATTTGTCTTAGCTCATTTTAAAAATCAGTGTTTTGTTCTTCTGGAGATTGTTTTCTTAGGATAGCCCAGCTCTCTGAAGGTATTAATTCTGTTTTGATTCTCTTTATAATCACATTCCTTTCTGAAGCACTCTTGAATCCTGTTGAAACTATCTGTTGGGTTGTGTCTTCTGAGATGAAGAAGCAATCTTTATTTTGGCAAATCTGTCGCTCTTCCATCCCCCTTCCCTGTCCTGAAACTATGAAGCTCCAATTTCCTCCGTTTCTTCCATCATCCTGCCTCTAGAGACTGAGCTGAATTATATTCCCTGTCTCTTACCCACCATTTATACTGGGCAGTGGTTTTTGTATGTGTTTTCATGATGAAGGATAAGCAGCAAAGATAAGATTATGGCAGTTTAATTCTCTGATGCATTTTTCAACGTTTTGGCTTTATTTTAGTTCTGCCAAAATTACAAATGGTATGCACTGGAAATAAAACGTACTCTAAGACACATCGTCAAGCAGCGAGGATGATTGACGATGGGGTCCAGGATGGTTTGTACAGAGCAAAGATCGGATTAGATCTATGTGAACAATTTTCCCTGGGGTTGTCTGAGCATCCCTTTGTCTATTTTTTGAAAATGTCTTCATTCAAGTCCTTAGAATGCTGTGAAACCATGGGGCTGCTTGTTTGATTGGCATCAAAGTCAGTAACTTCTTCACATCCAGGTGAGGTGCAGGCCTCTCAGCGGTTGCACAGTGGCCAAAGGAAATGGGGAGGAGTTGACAAGGATCCGTGACAGGGACACATTCATCGGAGTCAGCAGCCTGCTCGCCAGCTGTGGCCCATGGGTGAAGACTGAATTGCCTTCAAGGCAAGTCCTGACTGGTTTCTCATCTTAAAGAATGGCTGCACCCCTCGGCCGAGCAAGGCAGGCCTCAGTGTGACTGTGTTGCTCTGTGTAAAAGGTCACCGTGATTTAGCCTTCAGAGTGCCCTGCTCCAATCAATTCTCCTCGCTACAGCTGGAGTGATCTTTTAAAAAACAGACATTGGACTGTGTCACGGGCCTGATGAAAGTCCAGGCTTCTTCACATGGCTCCCAGGGCCTGGCAGGATGAGTCTGGAGCTCCTCTTTTGAGTTACATCTCAAATAGGTAAAGCTCCTTTCTGTAACTGTCTTCTTCAACGTTCTTCTCTGCTTGCCATGTTCTTTCTGTCCCCTTTCTCTGGTTCGCTTCTATTTCAGATCTCCAATGAAACATCATTTCGATAGCAAGTCCTTGTCTGACCCTCTTGGAGGTCAAATCCCCTTGTTAAAAGGTCTCATATCCTTGGTTAAAATTGTTCTAGGTTTATTTCAATGTGTTGTTGGCTGTGAGAGCCAGGGTGGTATTTTTTCATCACTTTACCTCACGGCTTGGCAGCAGCTTCATTAATATTCTTTGAGAGTCATGATTAAGTGATTCTCCTCCTTCCTAAATCTGCAGAGGAAAATTTAGTCTCCAAAGTTTCCTTCTGGATACCCACCTTCATTCTCTACCTGGTGAATTCCTGTTCACCTTTTAAGATCAATCTTTGTAATCCTTTTCTTTGAGTTGCCTCTTACAGTTATCTTTGCAGTAGTCAGAGAAGGCTCAATGACTTAACTAGCACATATTTCTAGGTCATATAACAGGTTCACCATGCTTGTCTGGTGGCCTGTTTCTCACCTTGGGCCCCAACAGGAAGGAGTATTCAACTCTGCACTTGCGTGATGTGGAAGACAGCAGTAGAAAAATGCAATAAGTCAGATGTTGGCTCTGACCTTTCCACCTAGAAGTGACATGCCTCCACTCATATTTTACACTCAGCCATATGGCCAGGCTTGTATTAGAAAAGGGTGGAGAGGTTCATTTGTGCTGTATGAAAATGGGTGAGGTTTTATGGACATCACTAATCCAGATCAAATTTTCCCAGTGCCTAGTTCCTCCTGGTGTATCCAACCTGTCCCTCCCAGTAATTTGTTCTTCTACCTTCCTATGTAGTCACACCAAAGACCTTAATCTTAATGTCAAACACATCACTCTGTGATTCCATCTTCTCAGTGTTTAGCTTGTGTGTTCTAGCGCCATCACTGCAGTGATTTCTTCCTTCCCTCAGGATTTTGGCTGCAGGTTGGGTCCCCTGGAAGCAACTCTGACATGGAGACCAGCACATAGGAAGTTGTTATTTGAGTTCTGTCACCAACTTCTGGTGTTTTGTCTTTATATCATGGTTACAAAACTCTTGCTAACTGTAGGTCTCCTTTTAAGATCTCATTTACACAACAGTAACTTTTATTTATAGCCTGACATGTCTTTAGCACTGAAAACAGTCTGCTGTTATATCAGTGTGTTTTATTAGGAAAGAAATTGACCTACTTTTCCTTTAAAAATAAATAAATGAGTTTTCTAGTGACTGAATATAGTCATTTTTATCCTCAGTTTCTGTTGATTAAGAGTATTAGGACATCAATGACTATCTTCATTGAAATTCTGTATTTGACTAATTATCATTTTTAGGGTGTGTTCATGAAGTAAATCATAATGAATAAGGCATTGGTCTATGAGTTCAAATCCAAAGTACAGCATATCTGAATGAGGTGATTTTGTGTCAGATATTTAACTTATCTGAACATCAGTTTTCTAGAATTTACAAGTGGTTTGTTCATGGATTTGCATGTGGATCAACTTGGATGATACCTTTAAAGATACAAAGCATTAGATTTAGAACTGACCCTTAAAACAAAATGATGGGATCCTGGGCTCAGGAGGGTTAATGTAAGTTATTGGCTATTAAACAGTGGAGCCACAAACAGAGCCCACATTTTCTATCTTGGAGTCCAGTGCTATAATCTGCCTCTGTAACCATCACTTATAAGCAATTTATGTCCATTTCAAAACATAAATCCATTTTCAAAAACATAATTTCCAGAAAAAGACCCAACTCTCTCTTGGAAGTTGTATGTTATATTAATTCTTGTCATAAACTTTTATGAAAAAGATGATACTCTGACCTCTATGGCAAAGAGTATAGTAGTTTTTGTGGAATTCGCCCATTATTCTATCACATGGGCTAGCTCCCCACGTCAATGGATGAAAGGCCCTGATTTGCATCAGAACACAGCTGCTGTCGCTGATCACAGAACAACATAGGAAAAACTGGCTACAGCATCATTTTGTAACAGATGGATAAAAGCATGTCTTAGGTCACAAGAGCAGAGAGGGGCTAGCTTTCCCTTCATCTCTCTGATAAAAGCTTCCCATGAACTGTAGATGCCCAGTAAATATTAATTGGTATCAACTCACTGGACACAGAACTCCTTGATTTTGAACATTTAAATACAATAGCCTCCTTGGTGAGAAATTAATAATTGATTTTGTCTTCATACTTCTTGGGTTCTTAACTGTTACATCTCGCACACATTTTCCTAGAAATACTTTTAGCTCAGGATAGGAGCTAATGCATCACTTAATTTGTGCTTACGCTTTGGTTTTTAATGTCTTGTTTTTCCTCTTGGCCTCAATGAGCACTCATCTTTTGTAATTTCATTGTAAGATGATTACACTGTGGTTCAATTACTTGACTAAACAGATATTGTTTCTGTTTTTTCTTTCAGATATTGATGAATGCGCAGCTAAGATGCATTATTGCCATGCCAATACCGTGTGTGTCAATCTGCCAGGCTTATATCGCTGTGACTGTGTCCCAGGATACATCCGTGTGGATGACTTCTCTTGCACAGGTGAGCAATAAGAAGCAATATTTTTCTAACTCATTTCTTTCTGCGCCATGTCTGTGTTGTTGCATTTAGCACCTAGTACACAAAAATACTTTTACTTTAATTATTCTCTTTCGTGATCTCGTCTTCACATTTTGAAAAAGAACTAATAATCCAAAAAGTTTTTATCTACATAATTGATTTCCACACCCAGTGTTTCTGCCTGTGTATGTGTGTGCATATACGTCTGGATGTGTGGTTTGAAACTGAAGTCTCAGTTGCCTATGGTAACACTGAGGGACTTAGAGATATCAGTTCTAAAAATAGAAAGTCTCAAGCTATTTTTCCTCCTATTATGATTAAATGTTTTTCTATATAAAAATGTACTTTAGAATGATAAGCATTCTATTGAAGTAGGTGGCAAGAGTGCTCTTTGGTCAGAGATTGGGCATATGGGAGCTAATCAAGATTCTGTTGCTTAATATTTTCTTAGTGTCAGTTTCCCATCTCTTCTCTCTGTCACTGTGCTTAGCAATAGCCTGGAGCTCCAAGGACAATGTCACTGGCTTTCTGTGAACAGAGTAGGTCTTGTGGGGCATTTGCTTTGTAGTTCCAGGGTATTTCCAATCATGTACCTGTAGGTATGAACCTTATATGGGTTAAGGGAAGTAGAAGATTCCAGGTCTTTCTTTGCTTGGATCAAATATATTTAAATGCCCAGTTGGCACCCTAGAATAACATAATTTGGGACTCTTGTGAACCCCAAATTTCAGGCATGTTGGACCTTTCCCTGACTCCTGACTCCTTCTCTCTGTCTTAATAAAACTGCATTCTTTACTCAGAATGTAGTGCTACTTAATGTCTTTTTCTGAACCATCTCTGTAGAAACACAAAAAGTTGGAAAAGTTACAGAAACGTATACATCCAAACTGTTTTGCCATTACTGGTTGTGTATTTCCAAGTTACCATTCTTCAGGGAAAGGGCTGGAGAGCTCAGATGGAGCAGGTTTCTGAGGGCTACCTAAGGCCAACTGTCATTTATCTCTCTTCTCTATAGTATTGTTAAGATCTCAGGAAAACATGTGAGAGAGTTCATGAACACAGCATTCCAGGATCCTTAGATTTTTAGGGCTCACACTTCTTTTGGACCAGTAAACACACATGATGTAAAAACCTGTGAAGCTACAGGTGACTGTCACTCTCTTCTCACTAGTAAATGATGCTCATAACTTATTTTAACCCCAAGACAATAGAAAGCTGATGACTGTCATCCCAGGACAATAGCATCGTGTCACGTGTGTCACTAACCTAAGATGAAGGCTTGTGGATGTGGCATCAGTGTGCCACCCTTGCTCTCCTGTCCTCGCTGAGGAGGGCTGGGAAGTGCTTGTGCTTATTCAAGTCCTGTTAAGGCCAGATGCTCCACCTGGTTGTCTGTGTGTCGAACAGGTTGGAAAATGTGTTACCTGAAGAATCGGCTCCAGAAATATTTTACAAAGTGAGATGTGTTGTTTGGAATAAAAGACAAATCATGGATATCGCTAGGCAGCCAAGCGCCTCTTCTTCACTGAAAAAGAATAAGTCACTCTGTGGGAAAAAATCAGCGTCACACACCTTTTCGTTTTATTGTGCGTGTGTGCAAATCTTGCCTGAGAGGAAGTGAAAAAGTTAGAAAATACGAAGGTGAGATAAACAAGGAGTGAAGCAGAGCGTACAGAGGGACCAATCAGAGAGCAGAAGGCTGGGTGCTGGGGCAGAGCCCAGGTGGAAATGACCCAAAGGAGGCAGAGAAGAGAGAACTTTTTAAAAGAGGAGTGTTTAATGTAAGGTTTATCCATTTTGCTATACAGTGTGCCCAGGGAACCTTCCTCCTGCCTGTTAGATCTTCAGTAAATTCTACTTTCTCTTAATGAAGGGTAAGCACTTCTCCATGCAAGAGAAGCAGACTTCAGAAATGGTAGATGTGCATCTAGGTTGTTGGGATCGCTCAGGGAACCATCGTAATGTAACCTTTGTGCTCCTTCTGCTGTTCCCAGCCCTCATACACTTGCCTATGCACATAAAAGTATCTATCATCACTGTCTCCTCTCGGGAATTTGAGAAATCATCATGTGGAACCTGGATCTCTGTTGATGAGATTTTTTGAATGGCCATACATTTTTCAAATCTACTTACCATCTCCTTGTTCTGCTTTCTCTTTTTTTTCCCTCCACAGGAAAACTTAACTGGTCTGTGGGTGTTGTCCTCATGTACTTTCGCTCACCTGCCCACCCTCCTCAAACCCCTGGGGACTTCTGTCCTTGGCCTTCCACAGAGACCACATTTATCAAGGTCACTGTGAGCTTCACTTTCCTAAATCTAATGTCTTTAGCAGAGCATTTAACACACCTTGCTCTCAGAGACAAGAGTCTTTGCTTGGCTTTTCTGGCATTCTGTTTCCTGCATTTCCTCTTTCTCCCCGTCCACTCCTACTTAGTGTTTCTAGATGGCCGCGTCTTCCGGTGCTGACCTTTGAAAGGTTAGTGTACCCCCAGCTCTGTCCTTCTGCTCCTGTTTACCTTTATTTTTAAGGCACTTTCATAAATTTTTTGGCTTTAACAGGATTCCACTGTCGCTAACATGTAAATTTCTATTTCCAGCTCCAATCTTTCTCCAGAGCTCCTGAGTCATAGATTCAACTTGACATCTACATATAGGTGTTTAAGGAAACATTTTGTATGTAACATGTGTAAGACAGATCTCTTAATTTCTCTCCACATCTGTAAACCTTCTCTACTTAAAATTGTTCCCATCTCAGCAAATGAAGGTACCATCCGCCCAGTTTAAGATGCAAGTTCAAGGGTTCTACCTGATTAACTTTCCTCTCTCATGGATATATTTGATTGCTCTGTCCTTAGCCTCCTTGCTTATATTCTTCACACCCTGGCCTAAGTCTGTCCACTTCTCTGCATGTCCCCTGTTACCTTCTGCAGTGGCCTCTGCTCTAATCTGACTCCAATATAAGCTGTTCTTCACATAGCAGTCAGAGCAATCTTGGAAAAAATAGAAATCATACAAATGCTTAAAACACTCCTGTATGTCTCATTACACAGGAAGTCAAATCCTTACTTTTTTTATTTTGATACATAACACCAAGTGATTCCCTCATTCTGCCTCTCTGACTTTATCTTGTACCATTTCCCTTCTTTCTCATTACGAGATGATGACCCTGAACCTTGCCTTCTCCATTTAACAGGCTTCTTCATTGGTTTCTTGGCATGGACTGTTGCTCCTTCTTGGAAGTCCTTTTGTCTTGATATTTATATAAAAGGCTTTTTCTTAACACTTAGATTTTAGCCTAAAAGTGACCAAAAGTGGCTCAAAGAGCCACTTTTATTCATCAATATAAATAGCCACCCATTTTTTCCCTGCCATACCACCTTGATTTTATTTCTCTCAATATATCTTATCACTGTCGCTGCCTAGTGTGTGTGTGTGTGTGTGTGTGTGTGTGTGTGTGTGTATTCATCATTAAACTCAGGGCCTCACTTCATGCATACTAGCCAAATCTTCTACCTTTGAGCCACATACCAGCCCTGAAATATGTCTCAGTTTTAAGTGAATTTTGTTTGTCTCTCTTCATTAGAATGTAAACTCTGTGAACGGGGATCTTTCATTCTTTTGCTTCCTTCTATATCACAACTATCAAGCATATTGTCTGTCATACAACGTTCCACTAGTATTTGCTGAGTGATACAGTGCATAAAACTAAAGGACTGTGTGAAAATGCTCTACTTCTCAACACTTCATTTATAAAATGGTGCCATATCCACCATACCTAGAGATTAGTGTGAACATTAATTAGTAATAATACGTGTGGAAATATTGGGTATGGCATCAAGTCATGGTAGGATATTCTGCAGTAACAAACAATCTGAAATATGAGTGATTTAATACTTTTATTTTTTGCTGTGGTATTCGTCTATCACTGCTCGACAGGTGAGATTTGTTTATAATTACATTGGAGTATGATCTGATAGAACAGTCACTATGGTGAACATTGTCCTCCACTGAGATAGGGAAAAGAGCCTAGGGCCTCCATCAAGCAGGAAATGTTCTGGTCAAAAAGTGACCGAATTCCCTCACAACCCATTGACTAGAGCTAGTCATTAGTCCCATCCAAGCACAAAGGTATGAAGAAATGCCTTCCTCCCATGTTCTGGTGGAGAAACAGGAGTTTGATGACAGCCTGATGTATTTGATATGGACTCGGACTGAATAGATTCTCAACAACTATAGTTTCTTTGGATGTAGGACCTGAAGAACTGTTGATTAATCTTTTCTCAATAACAATTAAGCATGTGGTAGGGAAGATTTAAAAAACTGGTTACAACATTTAACAAATTATGTTAGGTGCTATAGTGGAAGGATAACAAACAAAATCTAGTAGGAAAGACACATTTAATTGGAAAGATAAAGTATTTACTATTATTATGGTTATCATCATCATCATCATTATATGCAAGCCAGGGGGAGCTATTGGAATTTACTGAAGCATGTTAGCAGGCTGTAGCAGGATTAGGTTAGGATCTACAGAAATCCATTAGGAATATGAATTGATGACATGCGTTTGGTGGTGCACCCCCATGATTCCAGCACTTGGGAGGGTGAGGCAGGAGGATTCCAAGGTCACCCTGAGATCCTAGTGAGTTCGAGCCTAGGCTCAAATACATAGCAAGACCCTGTCTCAAAGTAAAGGAAACAAACCTACTGAGGAATAAAAATGGGCCAAAAGCGTCCTAAAATAGAAGTACTATCTTAGGTGGTAATTTCTCCTCTAGAGGCAATTCAGGGACCTCCACTGGACACTTTCACAGTTCACTTGATTCTCTGGAATTCTGAAATTTACTTTGGCATCCACAAAATAAGCTGTTAGGGCAGATATGTTCTCTATCCTCCAAGAGAGATATGATCCTCACCCTAATCTTTGCCATTTCCTTATTGGCAAAAGCTTTTTCCCTGAGGTAATTTGTTTATGTAATGAG